CCCCCCACCCCCCCGGGGGGGGGGGGGGGGAGTGAGTGAGCAGCTGCGTGGTGCTTAGTCACTGGCTGGGGCTAAACCACGACATTATCAAAACATGCCAAAATTAAAGTGTTTGCAACTGATATTAAAATAACTGCAACTTTGAGATAGACAAAATAATGCACCATGCAATCATGGTCTTTAACTTTCCAATTCATCCTTTGTTAAAAGTTAACACAATTGAAGTTAACATCATGCAGCTAGTACCTGAAACATGTTTTTCCTGCTTTTTGGCTTCCTTCTCTCCACTGCGCAGTCACATCAGCTGGCTCAAGGTGCCCTCCAAAAATATGTTGCCAAAGGTAAAGACCTACATAAATGAAGATACGATGGAGAATTTGAATGCATAGATCTCATCTACTCTACAATCCTAGCAAATAAAAGTAAAGTATTTCTAGGAAATGAAAAAGCATAACAATGTAAGAACTTGGGAAAAAAATGTCAGAGCTTCTTATATAATATGGACATTGCTTCCCAAATTCTGTATGACTTCAAATTAGTTAAGATTAATTTTTCACACATCGGGGCATTTAAAAAGATTCTTTGGTTGTCAAAATATCAGTAGATGAAGATATATACCACACTACCGCTTCTGTTAGCATCTCTTTCCGGTACACATACCACTTAAAACTGAGTAAATATTAATCAGCATTTTAAGGACATGCATAGTTCTCTTAAGCTTTTGTGAAACACATCGAATTTTTGTGATAGAATGCATCATCATGTAATATACCAACATGTTCTACAATGCTATGCGGAAGTTCAACTGAAGCTGGAAATTTTACATTTTCAAAAAGGCTAAAATAAGAACAATGATGTCTTCAGCAGTAGTTAAGAGAGCTTGAGAGGACCTTGGCCCCCAGTTTATGTAGAGAGGAAACGCGGTGTCTTCTACAACAGAAGAATTTCCAATTGCATCAGTGGCAGCAGTACTGCAGTAGAGAAAATGCCTTATTTCTCATTGTGCGATGCTTTGTTTCACAGATGCTTTGTTTCACAAAGTGCAAGTGTGACAAAAATAAATATTCTGGTTTAGCTAAATAAAAGGCCTGCCCTTGTGTTGTATTCTAAGCTAGACTGGACTCAAAAAGTAACTATGTTTCCCTGCCATTTAAGCCATTTTCTTTGACAGATGTGAAAAACAGCCTTGAAAAGAACTAATTCAAAGAAACAGGAGTCTAACCACTCTTATATTGGTATTAACATAAATTTAAGTAACAGCTACCATTTACTTAATGCTCTTCACGTACAGATATCCGTATTTAATCATGTACATAAATTTTAGTCATTAAAAAGCGGAGAAAAGTGCTATATCTGGAAGGTTAAGTGATTAACAGACATTGATTGTATCTGCTTACCAATTGCTGCTTTGCCCCAAATCTGTACCCTAAGACTGGTTTGTTCTACGTGAGATCTTGCATTTTGTATCATCTTAAGATTAGCTTCATATCTCTGCTGAGAAGCAAGCAGCTCGTTTTTCTCGTCCCCTTCCCACGGATTCCACTCTCCATTTCCCAAGGCAGCACGATCTAAGAAACCCAAAAGTGCAATTTACACCAAAAGAACGAACTCACAAGTTTAGAAAACTGACGAGTTTTCTGGAATTCAGAATTCCCACCAGCAGCAGCACCGCCCCCCCCGCGCCGGCCCGCAGCCCCGTGCCTGACCAGGCCCTGGGGAAATGGCCGCCACCCCCAGCGTGGCCCCGGCCCCGGCCACGGCCCCGGTCTCCCTCAGGCGCCGCTTCCG